AAACTCTCAGGAAAACGTGTCGGTCACACGGACAGCAAGTAAATAATTGTTTGTTAGTTTTTTTTTTAAATGTATGTATAGTAGTAATATTTGTTATTGAATTAAATATAAACAAGTGCAACTTATTATTTAAATAGTAGATATAAGAAAATATCCACAAAGTTTTGTGAAATTTATAAAAAATCAAGTTAATTAAACAGAAAAATAAAAAAATCTTAAGAATTTTGTGCATAAACAAAAAGTGAGACAAAAATGTTAAAATTTGTGATTTGATATCTGCTTTTACTGAAACACAAAAAATCTGGTTTTGATTGGCAAGCGTGTTTGGTTTTTGTTTTGGATATTCCATGCATTCGCAGAAATACGTACCAACTATAGAATTTCCTTGAATACGTAGGTAGGTAGTTAGAGTTGAGTGTTTGTAAAATTTTCTTTTAATTTTTTTTTTTTGTGATAAAAATATATTGAACGCGTAAATGGTAAAACTATAAATTCTAACATATTCAATAACAATAAACTAACAATTTATTGAGTCTAAATTTGCAAAGTATTTGTTATAAATCATTGATAAGTTTTCTTGGAATTGTGGAAACCTTTAAAGCGATAAAAAAAATTTAACTCAGGGTTTGTTTTTGTATTAGTTCAGTTATAAATAAATGTTTCGTTAGTATTTTCTAATCAAATTAAATTGTGTTAAAATGAAAATCTTTACTTTTCATATGCTCAGCAAATTTAATTTCTGTTACTTCAAAATACTCATATTCGTAATAAAATCATGCAATAACCTGATTGCAGGCAGCCAGCCCTACTTGAAACTTCTAAATTGCACATCTTTGCAGTAAACGGTAAAATTCGTGCCGACGCTGCTACTGCATAGTTTACCTTGAAATTATACAAAGCAGAGAAACACACACAATCTCAAACAAAACAAAAAAGCAGCAACGGTAAATTTAATTATACCTACATAATTTTTCTCTCGTTTTGTTACTTTTTTATGTATTTTCTCATGCTCTCAATCTGTCCTTTTATATGTGTATATTCTTTCCTTTTCTCTCATATGTTTAACCCATATCTATATTGCTCAAACTTCAATGCAATGCTAAACATATACATACACTCCAATAAATTCGGACATATTTTCGAACACGAAATGAAATCGCTTCCAAATAGAAGTAGAAGCTCTATTCGTCGAAAGTTTTCTTCAGTTAAGCAACGTCGTGCAACATCATCGATAGCGTAGGGAGTTATTGCTCCGTGTTGTTGGGTTTTTGTGCAAAAAAAAAATTTTTTTTTTTTTTAATTCAAAGTTGATAAATTGTATAATTAAACATAATGATTGCTTTGCTTTAAAATGTGATATTGGTTTAATGTTTAAGTTTCGTGTACGTTAATATCTTTGGAAATTGATTAAAAGCAAAAAATAAAAAAAAAACACTCTGAATACATTTACTGGGGATCAATTCAAAATGGAGTAATTTTCCGAAAAGTGGTGTGTATACGTTTTTTTAACATAAAGCATATTTAGCTAAGAATGAACAAAAATTTTACTTTTAATGGAAAATTTTAATAATTAATTTAACTTTAATAGTGGATTTCCCTTATTTAAAATGATTAATTCGTATTAGTGAAATAAATTTCAATCAATAGTTGTGTTACATAAGTACTTTTGGGCATGTTTTATTAGCGTCAGTTTCTGCCTAACTTTCCATAATAGAAAATAAATTTTTGATTAAATTTATAAAATTCTTAACAGAAATAATGTTAATTTTCTTTAAAAATGATTTAAATTGAATATTTTTCGACATAAAGTGTTGCGGCCATTTTGATTTTTCCTGCAAAGTATTTTTTTTTTACTTTTTTGTTTTTTTATTTTTATTAATTTTGAAAAAGTGTGAAATTTGAACAGTTTTCTTTTTTCAACGATCAATAAGACGGCGGTGGAACAACGACGTTGGTGACGAATATAAACGAAGTCTAACTTTCGTCCGAAGTCGTTTTTTCTTCATATTTTCGTGATGTTTTAGTGTGCGTATGTGTATGTAAAATACGTACAGTTTTCGACTTGGGGAAAAAGAGGAAAAACATTTTCCAAATATGAGTGACATCAAGTCCAAATTAGTACATATATTATTAGTGTAATTATGTTTTCAATGTATTAAATTGTATAGATTTAAACGGTTTCTCTTAGTATAAACTTAAATATTTGCGACGTATATATATGTTTTTGCATATTTTTATATTCGCCATTTAATGAGATACTTTATTATTCGTAAGTGGAAAAGTTTTAGGGGTTGATGTATAACTTTGTGGTTAGATAAAAAAAAAAATTTCTGAAATACCAAAGATCTTTGCTGGCACTATTATTATGGTCTTTTTTTTTTGTTGTTTTATTTTTATTGCTCTGCGACATACTTTCTTCTCCAGTTTCGGTTTCTTGATGTTTTTGTACGAAACTTTATATGCGATTTTGAGCATATGGTTTTTTGGTATGTGTTTCCCTCTCAATTTGCGATGTGCTAAGTGTTGTAAGTGTATTTTGCTTGTGTAACAAATACATTCAAACATTGCAGGGCATTTAAACATAATTTAAGATTTTTTTTTTGTCTTCTATAAATTTACTTTCCGAAACTTTATTTACTTTTCCGTGATTTTTCTCTGTATGCATATGTATCATATATATGTGTGTTTGTATGTATGCATTTATCTTATACTGTAGAAAATATATTTTCTTGCTTAATTTTTATTCATTCTACTATTTGTTCTCTCATAAACATACACAAACATAATTTGATGAATTTCATCATAAATGCAATGTTGTCACGTTTCTCAAAATACTTAAATATGTGCAGAATGTTTAAAGAGCATATTACACTTAAAAAAAGTTTTTAGTTTAATTAAACCCAATCATTAACATCCTAACTTCTATTAAAAGTTTCTTTTGTTTACATTTGCACACGTGCGTAAAAGCTTTAGTAATTATTTTTTTTATTATCTATTTTGTATAACATTAGTTTTTGTTTAGTGTGTTTTTTTTATTCTGATCACAATAAAAATTTTTCAGTACTATGAAAAAAAATACAAAACATACAAATTAAATAAAAACATTGTCTTAATAATGTGTTTATTATTTACACAATTTTAAACAGTTTTTTAAAATCGTTTTAGAACTAATTATTGGAATTTTCTAATAATCTTTTATTTTATAGTTTTATATTTTTATTATTTTTAAAAATTATATCTTATTTGCTTTTCCCCAATGCAAAAACAATGTTAATAAATCGACATCGTTTTGCTGCTTTACATTGTATTATATATTACAATGTCAGATTTTTGCACTATATGAAGTTAGTAACAAAAATTCATTTTGTTCATATAATAGATATATCTATAAATGCTGCTAAGTTTAATATTTTTAGGTATAAATAATAATTCTGCTTATTTAACAATCTTCTTGTTAGAGGGGCGGGTCACCTTAAATTGTTTTGAAACAGGTGGTTCAGTATAGTGCATTTGGAATTAAGAATGGACTGATAACAATTTATATGCACTTCTGTATGATGACTTATTCAGTAAATTCCGTAAAACTAAATGTCAAGGTGAATCCCTTTTAAATTATTTCATTAATTCATTATATGAAAAATTCTCTTGCTATTGGTGTTATTCAATGAAGAAACGTGTATCTGGTCAGCGACAAACATTTACTAAGAATAATGTAGTTTGTTACTACAAGGTCGTTAAAATATAAATTTATTGAGATAACCTCACCTTTAAGGGTTTTCTTTTTTCAATTAGCAATTAAAAAATTAGTTAATAAAAAGAAAAAAAATTTATTTCGTTGATATATCAATTGCTTTACATATTACTTCTCACCCCTTCTATCATAATAAAGATAAAGACTAAAGACTGAAGACTTTGATAAATTAAGTTTTAGAAAAGTAACTTTAAATTTCATTGTAAATTTTGCGTCGTAATATTCACAATTTTATGAGCACGACAGGCAGTCAGCCACATGTACAAGTTAGCCAGCCTCTGTGTGTTAGTGTCGATTGGATACGTTGTACAAACATTTTTATGCCCGTTAAAATATGTTTATATATGTATTACGGTTGTTTTCACTTTTATATAAGCACAAAAACAAATCTGACTGAATTGTTGTGAAGTTCTTTCATCATTTATAGAGTATGCAGCAGCAGCAGCACAGCAATGCTCTGGCTAGCATATATCGTTTTAAGATTTTATTAAAAATATTTTTGGGTACTTTTTTTTATTTACTCCCCCTCTGCTGCTGCTGCTCCCTCCTACGTATGCAAAACAGTAGGAGGGGAATTCTTAAATATTTTTGTAACATGTATATTTTTGGAGTTTCTCTACAAAAACCCATGTTAGTTGATTTTTCTTTGCAAAATTAAAAACCTGTTTTTACTTGTTGTTGTTCACCACTCTTCCCTTGAACGGTGTGAGTAGTAGGTAATTACTGAAAAAAAATATTTTCCTCGAAAAACAAGTTTTGAAAATCTTAAGAACAAATAAAGGAAGATCCGTCCGCCATTATTATTGAGAGGGTTTTATTTTGTCACGTACCAGTTTCTACATTTTTTTTCGACACATTAATAAGTACAATTACTTAATAATAATTTGTTGAATAAGTATTTATGTGTAAATAAATTTATTTTAAAAATCAAAGCTACAAGAAAGTCTGTAATCTCTAATTATTTGAATAATTAATCCTAAATTTTTATTTACAAAATTTCTGTATTTTCTTAATTATATATTCTTACTGATATTTGGTTAGTACTTTAATATAAAAAATGTTTATTAGTAAGAAATGTAATATTAAATATACTATATTAAAAAATATAATCGTTAATTACTATTTCATTTAAAATGTATGTGAAAATATTAAACTAATTATTGAGCGAAAAATAAGCTACACTAAAACTTTAAAGTATTAAATTGAGTCTCAGAAAATTTGCAAAAAATTTTCGTTTTTAGAAAATTTTGTTGGTACTGTACTTTTTCAAAATAAACGAAAGGATCCCTTTTTACATTTATATATACATATATATTTTATTTTTTTTGTTACCAAACATGCGCATATATCGCAAAATGATCCTTTTTGTTGCTAAGTCAGAGCTTACATTGCTTTGCTACTTACCCTTAATTTATGAAAAGGGGGAGATTACTGTATGTATAACGAAGTGTGAGGAAATAAAAATGTGTATACTATGAAATAAATGGTTGTGCTCAACTCAACAACCATTTTATTTAATTTTTGTTTTCCTTGCTTTAACGCATGCGTCAGTCTACCTAATGTCAATGTTTGGTGCAAAAACTTCCCTAACTCTACTCTAAAGATGGCGATGATGATCCCCATTTCAAAATAAACAAATGCTAAAATATTGTTTGTTGACATAAAACAGAATATTTAACAAATAAAGAGGAGAAAGAATGCTGCTGCATAAGTTGAGCATTTGTGAAAATTTGCTGAAATATATTTTAAATTCTACACGAAACTATAAAACAAAATTTTGTCTACATGTTAACATTCAATTTTCTCCATATTAATGTCTAATATATTTTAAATGTTTAACATGAAAAAGGGGTTACAATTTGGTAAAAGTAGAATTTTAATGCTTTTCATATTATTATTCTTCTGCTGCTTTAAATTTGTTCACTTAAGCTTTTTTGTTGTATTCACATGTTCCTATCCCACTATATTGTTGTTATGATAGTGTCGTTGTATTTTAGGTTACTTTAAATTTTTTTTTTCTCTATACTCGAATTTTTCTCTGTATAGATTTTGCACTGTTTTCTTGTTTTCCTTTTTATATTCGTTTTCCCCTGTTCTGTGTTGTGTTTCGAGCGACCCTAATATCGTTGCTGGTGCTGCCTGCCTGCCTGTCAGTCAGTATATCTTTCTTTTTCTCTCTTTTGACTGTTTGTAATATTTTGGTTTTGTTACTTGTGTGTGGGTTATAAATGCTGTCTTCAGTGTTTTAGATCATCTGCGAGTGAGAGGTTATAATTTGTTGATAGTGGTGCGCGCGCGGTACTTTAAACATTAGATTCCGGCTTAGGTATGATAAATGTAGAAAAATTTTGTTTTAATTAAAATTTTTTTTTTTTTTGTGGTATATGTCCTAAATATGAAAAGTGGTATTTCTTCATCTTAATTGTTTATATTGAAAAGTGTACTTTTTCTATTTAGTTATTTGTGATTGTTTATTGAGTTAAAATAATGTGGTTGAATTATATGCGATCATTTTTGCTTTTGTTTAATCAAAATGACAATTTATTTTACTTACTATTAATTCGCTAAAAATATAAATAATATATAAAATATTATTTCTTTGTGTAGATGAAGTTATTTTTTTTTTTGTTCATAAATAGCATATTGAGCTGACCTTACCCTTACCTGAGCGTAGAAGTCATACAAATTGCAGATAATTTATTTTAAATGCAAAAAAATCTTGGTTTAAAAATATTTTCAAAAAATTATCTACTATTTTAATAATGAATCAATAATTGAACTCTGCATAAAACGTTTATATTTATAACTATATATATTTTTATTCTACTATATTTGATAGTTATTAATTGTTTAATTTTTTTTTCTCATTTTAGGCAACATTGTTACTTGATAATACCAAATAATAAATTAAGAAACTCAACTGATGTATCACTTTAACTAAACAAAGAACTTGTCATTTCCCATTCTACACTATCCTTATTTTGCTTAGAAGAGCACCCACTGAATTTTGATACAAGCAGTAACAAGAAAGAAACAACATTAAGCTTGGACTCCCGCTAAAACATTGAAGACGTGTTATAACGTCTTGTATAAGAGAAAGGTTGACGTTATCATTCGTCCAAAATGGATGACGATCAGCAGTTTTGTTTGCGATGGAACAACCATCAGAGCACTCTGATCAGTGTCTTTGACAATCTTTTGACAAGTCAGACACTTGTGGATTGTACAATCGCTGCTGAAGGAAAATTTCTTAAAGCACACAAAGTTGTTTTATCAGCATGTAGTCCATATTTTGCAGTAAGTATTAAATATATAATAAACAAATAACATCTATGTATATATTTAATTAATCATTATGAATTTTTTTTAGACCTTACTTCAACAACAATATGATAAACATCCTATTCTAATTTTGAAAGATGTTAAGTATCAGGAGTTGACCGCAATGATGGACTATATGTATCGTGGCGAAGTAAATATTTCGCAAGATCAATTAGCGGCTTTATTAAAAGCTGCTGAGTCATTGCAAATTAAAGGTTTATCCGATAATCGCACTGGTGCACCGAAGCCTGAACATCATCGGGGTTTAAACATACCTGGTAGTGTCGGTGGTGGTTCAAGCAAATTAAGTTCTGGTTATACATTAGAACAAACCAAACGTGCACGTGTTGGACAATCAGGTATGGATTCACAAGATTTGTCTGCATCACGTGAAGGTTCTTCTAGTCCATCAAGACGTCGACGAAAAGTTCGGCGCAGGAGCATTGAAAATGCCATGACTGGTATGTATATTATATAAAAATATCAATTTTACTTAAATGACTAAATAATGTTAATATGAATGTTAACTAATATTTATTTATTTCATTTGCAGATATTCATGACAACTCAAACTCCTCTCAAATGCAATCTAATCAATCCGCATTACTTCAGCAGCCTGCAAACTTAGCTGGTGCTGGCGCTATAACAGCAGCTGCCGCACAAATTCCGACATCATCAACAGCATTATCGACAGGAACGAGTGTAGGTGCTACAGGAGCAACCTCAGGTCAAGGTTCAACTCAGCAACCGATGACCACTAGCGTTACCAAAAAGACTGAAAGCGTTAAAGGAACAAGCGATGCCATGAAAACCGAAAATGTACAAACCAGCAATATAGTTGGTGTTGATGAACAGGAAATTGAAAATCTTAAAGGCGATAAACAAAATCATAAGCAAAAAATGACTCCGAGTGTTGCCACTGGAAAGGATACAAGTGATTTAGTTATTGAACCTAAGAGCGAATATGATGATGATGGTAATGATGAAACTGTTGAGGATTTGACATTGGATGATGAAGAAATGGGTATGGATGATTTAGATCATAATGCTGGTACAAGTCAAGGAGGAGAAGGATCTAGTCAAGGTAAATAATTGCATTTTATATAGTAAAATTTTTAAGTCACTATAAAAAATTACCCAAACATTCTAGAAAAAGTCTTAAAATTAAATATAAAATTTGTTGTAGTTGTAATTTATTGTTTCAACTTTTCTATTTAAAACAAGTCTCTTTCGTTATATTTTACATTACAACAAAATTGAATTTATTGTTTTAATGACGAGCTTAATTTGTTAATTGTTTAAATAATGCACAATTTTTAAATAATAAAAAAAATATATTTTGTTTTCACTAATTTTCGACTGTAGTCTATCAGTACAGTACCTTGATTATATTATAATCTATCAGTATTCTGAAGAGAAGACCATAGAATGTAATCGAAATATTAGTGAACATAAAATATAATTTTAACAAATAATTTAAAAAGTTATACACTTGAACAATTAATCAATGATTTTTCAAAAATGTAAATAAATAAAATGTAATTTAAATTATTTAAGCCTTGTGTATAATATAAAATGCCACAAGTAAATTGTAGTTTAATGACTTGAAATTTTATTTAATACTTATTTCTAAGGATATATGCTCATTTCAAAATTTTTAAACATGCGTTTCATCTTTTAGGCTACGCACCCTGGCAACATGATAGATCTCAGGATGAATTGTTACTGACAACACAAGATGCACAGCAACGGGACCCACAAGGTAAGTTCTAAATACGAAACATTCAAAGAAGAAGAACAAAGGCTCCGAGCACGACAAATAAAATATATAGTTAGTTACAGATATCAGGACTTTTTTTTAATAAGATCTGTAATTTTGAACAACGTTAGAATTAATATACTTGAAGATTAACATAGTTAAGTTAGCCAGAAACTTATATAAAAAATTTACTAAAGAAGTAAATATTTTTCATTTAACGCATTATAAAAATTTAATAGTTTAAAAAATCGCCTTAATATTTACAATATATTGCTAAATAGAATATCTGAAAGAAGTTTATATGTCGTGCTCAAAAAGCTTTACATAATTAGTATCTTATGTTATTAAAGAAGAGAATTTATTTAAACTACAAGAAAAAAAACAAGCAAACATATATTTAAACAAGAAAAGACAAGCTGTGCTTTTATTTATAAAATCTAAAATTATTTTCAAAATTAGTTGTTTTTGTGTTAATATTATTATGTAGATTTTTGTAAAATATTTTTTGTTGTGTTTAAAATAAAAAAAACTTACTTGTCTTTTCTTCTTTGAAATAATAAGAATAAAAATAATGTATTTAACTTTTAATATTATTTGTGCAAGTTGAAAGTAATATTTATTTATTACTATTTTTGTTACAATATTTTAACAACATATTTATGTATGTACATTGATTATTTTCTAATTTGGTGTTTGTGTAGCATTTTGTTATATATTATTTAACATATTGATTTCTTCTATAATAATTTATTAACTCTACTATATAAATTAAAGCGAATCTAATTTTTGTGCTGATTTGGTTTTTCTTAACACTGCTTCCTACTAGACAATAAATAAATAAATAAATTAGATATATTAAATTGTTCATCACATACACACACATATATATTACACATGCCATTCACATTATTGAATTTTTGTATTTTACTGCTGATTCTCATCATAATATCTAAAATCATAAATTTCGTTTGTATATATATATTTACTTGCCTATATTTTTTTACTTTTCATTTACACAAAAAAAAAAAAAACTAAAAATTAAAAATTAAAAACAAACAAAATCGGTCTACGATATTAGAGACATCAATTCATATTAAAAATAATTAAATTCTAAATATTTTGAAAATTATAGTTTATTATATATAGTTAGGCATTTTTCATATATATTTTTTAAATCTGTTGTTATTAAACAAAATAGGGTTTTTTTTTCACAATTAAATTGTTAAAGCAACAGAACAGTATTGTTCCCATTCTTGTTGCTCCATAGATTTATTAGAGAGTCTCAAGACATTTGCTATGTGTAAAATTTTTAAAGCTTAAAGTGTTGTGTGTTGAAATTGTTCCATAAAATATTATTAAAGAAAATATGTATAATATGCCTAAAATATATTATATTGATATATATTGATATAAAATATATTATTACATTAGTCAAAAAGTTTTTGTTTTAGATAGTAATATGTAATAATACTCATTTAGAGAAAAACAATAAACACACACACACCACCACCTTTAATTTGTTAGTAAAAGCGTGAATAATGCAGTAAATCAAATCGTTAATTAATTTCTGTAGGCATATTTTTGTTTGTTGTATATATTGTATTTTTTTTATGTACATTATAAAACTATGATTTTGAAATAATTATGTACTTTTTTTTTTCTTATATATTGTACATTTAGTACATTTTGATTTTAGCATATAATTTTGTAAAATTTGTTTGTTAAAAAATACGCATGCATTATATTTTTCAGCAATTTTTAATTTTATAAGATTTGTTTTAGTATAATTTTAAAATTTTTCATTTATTTTAAATACTATTTGGCTTTTATTTGGTTGACGGGACTAAGAACTTATTTTATACATTCAAAAATTTGTAAACAAGTTTTTATTTCTATGATTATACACCGGTTAGGTATTATTACAGTAGCTTTTTGTGCTAAACATTGAGCTCTGCTGTCAATTTATAAGAAATCGTTTGCGTTTCGGTTTAGATTTTTTTTATATTAATTATATATTCGATATATATTCGATGATAATAATACGGATTTTCGGTTCTCCGGTTTTTCGGTTAAAAGTAATACAATTTTTAAACTACATATTCATAAGATGTTGTAGTATTTTGTAATTAATGTGAAAGTGAAAAAAGAAGAAGAAAAAAAAAAAAAAAGAATAAAAAGAAGAAGAAAAATGTCTAGAAATAATTTTGCTTCTTGGTTGGTGCTTGCTGAATTGTATCCTGTTAGCCGTGATCAAATCCTGTTATTGATGTGGTAGTAAATAAGTAACTGTTGCTTTCAAAGGGTAACAGTGAGGTACGAAGAATGTTTACTACCATAAGCAGAAGAGGATGCAATAACTGGATTAATTAGCAGCAATAATTATAATACTTACTATTTAATTATATGGTAAGTGTTTCAACAAATACAGGTAAGTATACTTTATTCGACAGTATCGGTTGAATGAAGTGCGAATAAAATAATTTTTGATTTTGAATTCTTTTAAATTTAATTTTAATGAATTCTTTTCAATTTTTTTTTTTTTTTGTGTCCTTTTAATATACTACCCAAAATTTCCTTATCCTTTTAAAACACATTCCTCCTAATACACAACTCATTAATATATTGTTAATAACTAAATTATAGCATATCATACATATTTTGCTATGAAATTAGTTTTCAGGTTATTGATCAATTTATATATACATATATAATAAATCAAAATTAACCACACGGGTAAGCTTAAATAAAGGTCCTCTTTCACAAAAGTAAGTTATGGTTTCACATATAAAAATGCTGTGTATGCTGCAGTATTAGCATACTTTAATGATGATGATTATAACATGAACGACCATCTTACAATTAGTCGGTGTTGTTAAATGAAAATCAAACTTTAGTGGGAAGATAATATTCATATACTACTACGTTTAGGGGAACTATCTGTGATTTAAATGGCTTTTTAGTCGGCCACAACGCGCAATGCATTCAAATTAATATTATTGCACTAATGACTAAAAACTATGGCCACTTTGGGTGGTAGTTGTGGAATGACAGAGGTATGTTTTTAAATTGTAAGTAACTTATTTTAAATATGTATTAATTTTTTTTTTTAAATTAAAAAAAAACCTTATGTCAAAAGGTGGAAATTCCAACGTTACTGTGGGATGTATGGTTTTATATTGCAAAACAAAAAAAAATAAAATAAAAATAAAGCTATAAAGAAATCAAAGGTAAATTAGATTAATTTTTATTAAATTTAAATAATTTTAATTAAAACTAATTTAATTACTTTAAATACATAGGATTACACATAAGTTAATATATTGGTTAATTTCAAATACTTATCTAAGTTTATGTGAGTAAAAAAGAAGAACGGATTTTTATAATAGGGTATTATCACAAATTATAACTATTAGAAATTAGAACACCTAATTATTAGAATATTTCGGAAATTTGAAATAGCCGAAAAACAAAGTGGTTCTAATATGTGAGCTTCTACTTGCTCTATTGTTACTATTTTTATCATATTGGATTCTTTACTCAAAGAGTTTGCAACAACAGTTTCAGCAGAATTAATTTTTTTTTCTTTTATAATCTTTTTTTCGCTAATACTCTAGCAATAGTGCGTTTTTCTAATTTTTATTGGTTAGTTGGTTTTAGTAGCGATAGATCTTCCTTTTCTCTTCATGTAATAGCACATCCGGTCTTGAAAATCGAATTTTTAAAACCAGTCTATGTAGATTTATGTTTGAAGATCTAAGTTTAAAGTTTTATGTTTGAAGATCTATGTTCATAAAATAATGAGTTCGCTTTTTAATGCCTTTCAATGCCTAACTAAGAGCTCACCGCGTTGCGTGCTGTGCGGGGCTTTAGGCTTTATCAGATTCCGCTTCAGCCGCTCATATTTGTTGTGTTCTTCGAACATAATTTATTTAGCTATGCAATTTTATTTTGAAATTTCTGCGGTTTTTTGTTTTTGTAAATCACTCTCAATGCTGTTATCTGTTAAGGTAGTTAAATACTACCTTGATTGATATTTTCAATTATAGAATTTTCATAAATTGTGTAGTAACCTTCTCAGGAAATTAGTCCGTGTCACAACCAAACTTGGTTGACATGATTAAATTTAATCAAATGTCCATTTATTTAATAATTATTTTTGTATGATTTATTTTTTTTTATAAGCTGTGACGATTAAATTATTTAAACATAATTCCGCCTGTGATGAATCTAACTAATAACGTTTGCCTTTTAAAAAACATTTAGTAATTATAAGAAAAGTTCAAGGCCGTTATTTACTTGTTCAAGCATTTCTACAAAAATGAATTGTATTCCATTTAAAAATTTTATATAAAGATTTTTTTTTTGGTTTTTTGAATCTAAAAATATTCGTTTATACCTGTGACCGGTTTATATAAAGCATATATCCAATATACGTACAAGAAACTAGACAATACAACTTTCATTGCATATCTGTCTATAATTTTGAAAATGTCGCTAAAAAGTAAGCGGAGGGAGTTTTGCCTCATGACTAGGCTACTACTGCACAATTCTAACTGTATAAATGTTGAAAAACTCAACATTTTGTGTTAAATTTTTGATTAACCAGTTTACTACCATTTATTTTTGATATAAGATTAGTTTTTTTTTTTTTTTTTAAATTGAAAATAAATTAACTGGAGCTGGAGTATTAAATATGTGAGGAATATTTGTACTTAGTTATAGGAAGACCCTGACCCAATTTAAATATGTACTTTTCGTTCAGATAATAGTTTTAGATATCTTCATTTATATCCAAGCTAATATAAATTTTTGAAATTGACTGTTATATATAGATGTCATATATATATATATGAAACAAACATACAAATTTTTAAATCTATAGACAAAAAGTAGATAAAATAAATAAAAAGTAAAACATTCAGTTTTATAGTTTTCTTAAAACTTATATGAATCGTTATTGTTATCTGATATTAAACGGAAAAATAAGAGTTGAAAGAAATTAA